TCACTTTTAAGGAATTATCCTTAAAAATAGGAATTTTGAAGAGTTTTAAGGATTTTTTTAAGGAATTTAGGTTTTTGAGGATTTTTTTAAGGAATTTCCAAAACATTTTATCCTGGACTAAAAACGTTTTGACGGAGAATAACCACGCCACGCAAATGAGATTTAAACTTGAAAGTAGCAACATTATATGTACATAATTACATATATTCGTATGTTCCCTATGTCGTAATTAAATGTACATATGGCTGTCTTTCCATTAAAATTCTCAAAAGTTAAATGTCAGTGTATGCTGTTTCTTCTGAAATCTACAGATTTTCTAAGTTCTCAGGGCCCTAGCGACCGGGGGAGGGAGGGTGCAACACCCCTAATATTGCTCATGAACAATTTCAGGTAGATATCCTGTAGATTTTCAGGTAAATTCAGGTAATTCTCATGGCATAAAAAAGTGAACTCTCTAATCTGAATTGGAGTTAACAATCAAACAAACTAAAGACGTTGAGACGTGTTGTGGCAGGGAGACAATTGCGAAATACCCTTTCTGACGATCTGGAGACTCCAAATTTCCAAAATTTTCTCAATTTCCCATTATAAACTGAAAGTAGCAATACTTATCTTCATTGTTAGGCAATACTAAAATATTGGGTATGAAAGACTCTAAAAATGCCATTTCCGACGGTCTAGAAACTTCAAATTTTCAAAAAATACGGTTTTAAAGAACGTTCAGTTCGAAAAATTCAAGTAAATCAGGTGAAAAAAACACTTTTTGCAACTCTGTGATCAGGCCTTGTAGTAATTTTACCAATTTAAGGAATTTTAAGGAAATCTGAGGAATTTTCGAGCTTTTTCTAAGGAATTCGAAAATTTGATTGTGAGAGCACTGGTCAAAAATACCACCCTAAAATATTAAGGCGGAAGCGAATTTTATGCTGTGTGTCAGTATTTTTCAATTTGAAAGAATTTATACTAACTAGTTTTTTTCGGTTGGGACGATTTACAACTTTAAAAAGTAATGCCTCTGTGAGCGTGGTAATGTAGGCAGAAGATTAAATCACTAAAAGCAATATATAAACAAATAAAAAATTCTAGTGAACAAAGAAGGATAGCTTGTTATAATTACAAACGAAGCTGAATAATTATCGGATAAGTAAGATCACAAAATAAAATAAATTATCTTTTTAGGAAGCTTCGCAGACGTCCGACTGCCGCAGCAGCCAATCGAAAGGCACTATTTTTGATCCGCTTTAATTATATATCCACATCAAATTTATTATAAAAGGAGTTACCTTCAAATTTCCTCCATTGGTCCATTGCGAAATTGCTGTTTTCACTATAGGGAAGAACTCAGAAGATAAACGTTTTATTGTCAAGAATTAAGGCCGGCGCACACTAGAGCTATGTGCTTAGCAAAATCACAGATTAAGTATATACCAGATCATAGGCAGCCCAAAACGGCGTGTAGAATGCACCAATAATGCTTCCAAATGTCAATTTGCATTAAGCTCGCCCCATTCCTTTGTCATTTGTCGCGCGCCGCAAGCACTCAATTTGAAAAGCAGTGTTGATATATATATA